AGACTCCAGAACAGGTTTCTGTCTCTGACTTCCATCCGTGCACAAGAAACAGCTGGATTTGATGTAGTAACAACATCAGCAGCATTTCTGAGCAAGCCAAGCATTTCTACCACGGGTTCATACAGGTAGAAAAGGAATCTAGAAACTCGGGGTTGCTGGTGACCTGCAGGATTGCAGAAAATCCCCATCAGCGCAAGCTCTCCCTGCCTAAAAAAAAAGCATCAAATTCAGGGAAATAAAAGGAAGATGCTCACATGACAGTCAGTGTCTTTCCAAGAGCGACATACCGTCCTTCCCTCCCCTCATGTGGGTATTTGGCTCACAGACTGAGAAAACATGCTATCAAGTGACATAAAAACACGCTATTCCACGTGAGAGGAACATGTGGAGATACGAGAGAGACTGGAACAGGGTAAAAAAAAAAAATTACTTGGGAAAACACCCAGCACCAAGAAGGACCTGATGCTGCACAACCCCTTCCCTCACCTTGCTATTGCTCCTCCGAATCAGCAGGATTCTGCAGGAGCTGGGCTCAGCAGAATTCCCGGAGGAATTGCAGTGCTGGAAAATCCACCTGGTGCAGCGTTCACTTTTTACATCCCAGCATACCTAAAGAAAGTGGAGTTGCAACAAAACCGTTCGGCCTGGCAAGCGGAGATGGGCTAACTCATCCTATCAGTATGTGCTCAATGAAATACCTCTGTGACCGGATTGATGGTGTTTGGAAAAAGCACGCTTGCTCCAAGTCCCGGGACTGCAGCCGGTAGATGGCATCCATATGCTATTGTACGCGTACGTATGCTCTCGTGCTGTCAGGCTTAAACTGCTTTGGAAAACATGAGAACGTTTCTCGTATATAAAAATGAAGGTAAAAGGCAAATATTCACCTGGTGATGACCCTGAGGACTTTGCAATGAACTTTAGAGCCGTCAAGTCTTACAGACTTCTTGGCATCTCTTTCTGTCCCCATGGATCTTCTTTCTGCTTCTGATATAGAAATAGATAATATACATAAAGAAATATAACACATCCCTGAAGCATCCAGAAGTATCTTGTGAATCCTGGACCACAGGCATGCCCAAAACGTGCGATGTGAGCAAGGGATACCCCACCATCTCGCTGAGGGGCTGACCCAGGACCTACCAGGCTGACCACACCTGTGGCTAGGGGCTGCTGGCGTTTGGCTAGCACGTTTGGCTAGTGTGTTTTCTTTACGGTGACATCCACTGGACCGAGGAAATACTGCCCCGGTTATCAACACACAGGACACATGATCGTCCAGCGGGGACACACGGTTACAGGAGAAGGATGGGATGGGTGAAGTGATGGGAGAGGCGTGGTGTGTCCTGGGTGGGCAGCCAGGGAGCATGCCGGAGCAGGGCCTGTGACTTTACCTGCAGCACAGCCCTTCTCCTGAGCCTGCAGACCTCAGCTGGCACCACTGGAGAGCCCAGCACCATGCTGAGACCGCACGAGAGTGCTGCACGAGAGCCAGGACCAAGACAGGACTCTTCTCACCGTAACAGAAAGTGCAATAAGTAGACTCCTGCTTCCACCACCCAGGACTCCTCCATCTCCCCGCCATGCCCTGATCTCCAGGTCACCGCAGCCCCTCTGCCCACTGAACAGCCCTGGCAAAAACCCCCACGTGCATCGTTAGCAGGTGGTAACTGGAAAATCCCAGGGCAGCAGACACAGGCAAGACTTCCCAGTCCTGCTCTGTCGGTTAATGTAACAGGAGACACCTCCTCTCTCAGACCATTTCTGCTACGGCTCAGAAGACAAACCCTTGCACTTCACTGGGGGGTCACTACTAAAGCTGGAGCTACCTTCATCTTTGTACAGCACCAGCACGGCGGCTGCATCACGCAAACACGAGGGGGATTTTTGACAGCAGACGGCATCAAATTAACCCTGCCGCTACCAGCAGCTGGGCTGCGGCCTTGGGCTGAGCTGGAGGGAAGGCTGTTTGCTGAAACCCAGGAACCAGAAGGCAGAGATGTGAGCCCAGGTCTGGAGCAGGTGAAAATCACTTGCTGCTTCATTCACCCTTAGATTTCCAAAGGAACCAGCAAAGGTCTTGGGCTGTAATGCAGTAACAGACATCCTGGAAGCAAGGAACAGGAGCTGCTTCCCCCCAGCGCACCAGAAGTGAGACCAGTACCTGAGGATTTGGTACAGATCCGCTCTGCATGTGCAAGGCAAGATGGACCATTAAAACCTGCATCCCCACTACACGCTGAGGCCACTTTTTACTTTCTCAGCGAACGATGCACCGTATTAAAAAGCCCCCCCCGCTTCCACCTCCCCTCCCCAGCTCCCACGCCTCCTCTAGGACCAGATCCCGCTGGATGACGGGCATCCCTTGCTTCCACTGAAAGCAGCAAGGAGACGGTGTGCTCAGCCCCTGGCAGCATCATTCATCCGGAGGAAGAGTGTAGGGAGATATTTGGTACCTCTCAGCCAATTGGAAGAGAGGTGACACTGAAAGGGGGGTGCTTCCAGCTCCTCTCTCCACCCATCCTCCATAACGCCCCCCTCCCTGTCACCACCACCACCGCCATCCTCCTCACGCACAAAAGCACTGCAATTAGTTGACTTAAGAGAGCTGAGGCTTAGCCAGCTGCAAGCAGAAAATAATAAAATACCTTGGAGGGGAGAGAGGCAGCAGAGGAAACAGCAGCCATGGAAGAATACAAATAACTGCCCTCAATTTCCCCTCCTCCCCCCCAACAAAACCCAAATCAAAGCCACGACTGCTGTGAGAAAGGCCGACCTAGATGCATCCCCACACTCCTCCGCTGAGAAAGCCGCACACGCCTGCATCTGGATCCAGGCGCTGGAGCTCCTGAGCAGCCCGTCTCCGTCGGGAGGAATGCATAGCTGGGATACAGGCAGGATCTTCTTTGTTCCGCATTAGCCGCAAGCATCGGTGAGTACAGCATCATCTGGGCGTCCATACTGCTGGGCAACGTTTGATATTAAGAAACATCAGGCTCCAGCCTGAGAGTTGCTTCAATTTCTTTCCCTTCCCTTCCTCCCTCCATGATGCCTTCAGGGTTAGCAGAAAGCAGACGACGGCAGTGGGGAGGAGGGGGGGAAGGTGGGGTCTCTCTGAGCCCCAAGGCATCGGTGAGTACAGCATCATCTGGGCGTCCATACTGCTGGGCAACGTTTGATATTAAGAAACATCAGGCTCCAGCCTGAGAGTTGCTTCAATTTCTTTCCCTTCCCTTCCTCCCTCCATGATGCCTTCAGGGTTAGCAGAAAGCAGACGACGGCAGTGGGGAGGAGGGGGGGAAGGTGGGGTCTCTCTGAGCCCCAAGGTAGCATCGCATGCAGCCAGGCGTGGGGGTGAGGACAGAATACAGAATGTGCGTGCTGGGAGGACAGGCTGAGACACACCGGGCAGGGAGAGAGCCCTGCAACGCTCACAGCCAGCTCTCTGCTCCGATTCCTCTCGCTGCCAGTGCCTGTCATAAAGACGGACACCGGATTTACTCAGGCCTCTACGTAGCTTCATTACTTTCAAGCAGATACGCACAGACAGATTTGTCTCCCTCCAGATCATCACCCAGCGACACCCTCTGTAAAGACAAGCCTCCAAAGGAAGCAGGAAAAGCGCTGGCTCTCTAGAAGAGCCTTATAGCAACGGGTCAAACTCTGCCAGGTGCCCATTTCCCTGGGGACAGGCAGAGTAGCCCCATCCACTTGGGAAATCCCCCCAGGTCCCTTATCCTAAAAAACCCGTTTCTGCCACTACCTAGGTACATTTACAGCGTAAAGGATGAGCTCAGGAAGAACATTCCAAACTGTCCTGCAGTGGATGGGTTAATGCACATGCCCAACATATGAGGTGATTTCACTTGAACACGTTCTATGTGAGATAAAGCCTGACTTTGTCCCCTCCGGGCTCAGGTGCTACTAAGCTTCAGCTGCAGCAGCATCCAGCCAAGAGCAGCGTATCTGCCATCTCCGACCAGGGCTGGTCCTGCAAGGACCGGTCCTGAGCCCTCCGCCAGACTGTGTTAGGATTTGCAGATGCAGTCCCTGGGAAATAGGTACAAAGGGTTGATTTTTGCTGGCTGGCAGCGTAGGAACCTTCCAGTGAAGTCAAAAGAATATATATGGTCTTAAGGGCCCCTCGTTCTGCTGGGGGGTTAGCATGACTGAGAACAAGGCTCGCTGGATCTGAATTTCTCCTGTTCATACCAGTGCAGGAGAAAGCCCAAACTGGGAGCAGCACACCCACCTTGCCTCCATTTGAGGCGCTCCAGGTTTTGGCATCTGCTGCGGTTTACCTGGGAGCAAGGCAGAAACGTGAATTCTTCAGGGGCGTGGAAGGACATTCAACATCCCTGTGAAGGCCTCCTCGCCCTCCTCCGTTTCCCTCTGGGTGCGGGGACAAGCGTGGGGATGGAGCACGGACCAGGCAGCAGCAGTCAGGAATTCCTCTGCAAAATCAAAGCCATTAACTTCTGCCCAGGCCAACAAAATGGAAACTGGTGCTACTGCCAACCCAACCTGAAACTGAAACCAGCCTGGGAGGAGCATTTTCTTCTCATTTCCCTCAGGAGAGGTGCTCATTTATGTTGAGATTAGTATTGGAAGAGAAGTAGCAAGGGAAAAACAGGTGGGCATCAGCCCAGACAGTGTCGATCCTCAGGGAAAAGCGCTAAGGTCACAACAGAGCAGAGAGAAACCTGCTGCTTTGATCCAGAGCCAACCTCACCTCCTCCTTCTCACTCAACACGTGTCGAGTCACCACAAAACCCCGTGTCCTTGCCTTGCTGTTTTTGCGAAACGAGCAGCCATCACGCTGCTTCTCCGTAGAGCGAGGTTTCGGCATGCCCGCTCCGAATGGTTCAGATTAGACGCTCCCTGGTAGCGATGCTCGATGCCAACCTCTCCCCCTTCCACCTTCCAGCCTGAGCCCTTCCCCGAGGGAACCGCTGTGCAGCCAGCCCTCTCTGAGCACGATGGGAACCACAGAAGCCACTTTGCGGATGGAAAATGTGGATGTGAAGGAGGAGTGGCAAGACGAAGACTTCCCCAGGTTTGTTCCCTGCAAAAAAAAAAAAAGCCAGGGACAATTTTATTTCTTCCTGTAAGAAACCAGCAGGCCACGGAGCAAGCAGGTCCCTCCCACCAGGCATCTTAACTCCAACAGGGCAATTCTGGCCAGAGAACAGAGCTTTTGTAGCAAGGCTGCTCTGAAAGCTTAAAAATTTTTGAGAGGCTTCTGGCAGCCCTCTGCGAGCATGCCAAGGAGAGGGCAAGGGGCTGGGTGCGGAGGACAGGGAGATTAGCATGGATGGATGGATGTGTACAGGGATGGATGGAAGCATACAGGGATGGATGGATGGACAGACTCCTTCCCAGGCTGTGAATCAAGCAGCATCTCCCCAGACAGAGCAGTGCTGCTTTCCCAGGGATTCGCCACAGGAAGCGGAGTCGTTGGGATGCAGCGACTGCTGGCACTGACACGCAGGATCTGAACGGTTGCAAACCTTGTAAGGAATGACGTGTGGGTGACAGCAGGCGCCGAAGTGGCAGCTCTCACCTTCGCAGACACTTTATTAGCTGCTCAGAGTGCCAAAAAAACCCCCAAACCCCCATAAGCCCAGTATGTGCTGAACTCCCCGCAGCCACCCAAAGGGTGCACCCACCCGCGCCCCATCCAGGCGTTGCCCCACACCCCCAGCGCGGCAGCCCCCGGCGCAGCAGCAGCTCGCTGGGGCACACGCAGCACGGCCACCACCAAGCCTTGCTGCAGCTGGGGTCCGGGCTGCTGAGGGGCTTTTCAGGGCTGCATCACCCTGTCCCAGCTGCAGCTGAATTCCCCTGGGCAGCCCACAGAGCCCCTGTATTCGCAGACAGTGGCGCAGTGTGCTGTGCAGGTGGGCGCGCACGGCCCCCACCGTGCTAGAAAGGATCTCCTGTTTCCCTCGGCACCGGCGGATGAGCTTAGATCTGTTTAGGCCGGGGACAGATGCATCGCTCCT